AATTTATATACCAAAATTCAAATATGTGGTATTGTGCTAATGAAATTAAATGAATCATTTCGCGTTATTTTTAGTTTCTTTAAGTCTTAAACTGTTCATACATTATATATGCTAATTTTGTTGGAAAATTTGTAATGCATGGTATTAGTTTTTTTTAATTAGTGAATTGCTTTAATATTAATTAAAATAGAAAAAACATAAAAATTAAATTGAAAGTATATACGACTTGAATAAATAAATAAATTAGAAAATTATTGATTAATTTAAAGTTAATATTAAATTATAGATAGCAAAAAATCATTGATTTCTTCTATAAATTAATCGTATATTATATTATTAAAGTAATATCATATAAAAATCTTTTTACGTAAAAATAGAATACTTTAAAAATATAAATAATATAACACTCTATTTTTAATTATTATATATTAAAAATTATGATTATATTATTTGATTAGATTTAACAAAAAATAATCTTTTTGTTTTAATAAAAAATAGAATAAAAAGGATTTCTATTTCTTTCGTTTCATACAATTAATTGTTTTATAAATATAAATTTATAGTATATTATAAAGTATGTTTTAATATAATTTATAATAAGAATAGAAAATTAATTATAATTTATGAGGATCATAATGTTTTTTTATTTATATCTCATTCATATATCTGTTTGTAAAACATATTTTACATCAAAAGTATTTTTAATTCAAAGTATGGATTAAACAAAATTGTAATAAACAATCGTTAAAATAGTAAATTTTTTACACAAAATTTTTAAATCAATGTTTAATTGCACTTTCTTTAATATCTAATATAATTTCTTTTATTATTTCTTCATAAACTATACATTTAATAAGTTTAGGTAGCTGTCATTTTTTTATATCTAGAATCTTAATAAATTTAGTATTAAGTAAGGCCGTTTTTACCATGCATTGATAAAAACGAACTTAGTTGACTGTTTTCGTACTACTTACTATTAATTAGACTTTTAATAAATATTTTTTACTTTATTTTGTTCAATTACAATAGTGTAATAGAACATTTTATAATAATTTTATGAAATCGATAAAAAATTATTAATTTTAATATATAAAAATGAAATGAAATGAAATGAAATCTTATATAAATTGACTTAAATAATCAAATAAATATTCGTTCTAAAAGTTTGATTATCATTTTCATTAATTTTGTTCATATTTTTTTATTAAATTAATTTCTGTATATTATATATATACTATGCTAATAAAAGCCTTTAAAATATTATGTAATTTGCTTGAATAAACTAAATATTTCAACTTTTTATCTGAACATATTTTTATAAGTTTCATTAAATATTTTTTAATTCACAATACATTATAATATTATATAAGCATTTATAATCAACGACAATCTATTTTTTAAAATTGTTTTTCATTTTTATAATTTAATTATTAAATAAAAAATTATTTAAAAATTATTTATAATAGAAATAAAATAATATTTATTAATTATTGCAATCAATGTCTAAATTTTAAGTATTCTTAGTGAATTTATTTCAATAATATAAAAAATGATCCAAATAATGTTTTTCAAATTAATAGATTTTGAAAAATTATTCCGTAGATTCAATATTTCTGTAGAATAGTTTTTTTTAATCTTCATAAGAATGGGGCTATATTTTTTCTGAAATAAAAATGTGATTTTTGACATTACCCTAGTTATACATATTATCTTGAATTTCTAAGTTACGCAGTGGACAAGAAAGGAGTTGTAAAATAAGAATACATACACTTATAAAATACAAGAATGACAGTCACATCTTGTATGTCTTCATCAGTCACACAAGTGATTGAGAATGATGTAAAGTTTTTAGGAGTTCATAAATGTCTCGATTCCATGCTTTCTGTGACTAAGCGGTCTTTTAAAGTTCAAAGCAAGATCAAGCATTTGAAAGAGTCACGGTGCCCATATAAATGCGTATGTAGGAATACTCAATCTGTGCTTGAGACATGAAGCATCAGTTGAGTTAATTATATAGTAAGTGTCATATACATATTGAATTTACAATATTACACAACCGTATCTCGGTCAATATTTCTATTTTTATCTTTCCGTATCCAGAAATATTTATATGAACAAGTAATGTCATTTGTTTACTTTAAATTAGAAAATAATAAGTAAAAAAAGATAAGTATATCAAAATATCGAGTGGAAAATACAATAATAATAGAATATGGAATAAACTGAGATATTAAAAAAAACTATTCAATAATATTGATTCTTTCAACATTATAAAAATTTATTTATTTTATAAACAAATTATATATTCTAATTGATATAAATTTTTAATTTAAAATTGGCACGTAGCAAGCGCATTAATAGAGTAATAATAAGAGTTAGTAATATTGTATTATAGGACGTCTAATAAATATTTACCCATTTTATTATTGTAGAACAAAATTTTTACATACACAAATATGTTACATATTATTTTAAAATAATAATTTATTAGGTGTATAATTTGTACTAATTTTCTAGTTAACAATATAAATGAAAAAATCAATAGTAATGAGATTATTAAGGACATAAGCATTAGAAAAAATTCATAAATAAAAATGTCAAAATATGATTTTGATTCATAAGACGTACATTAAAATGTTTTTCATATAATTATAAAACGTAATTTTAAAAGTTCACTATTCAAATCTGGTAGTATATGATATTGTTAAATCTATTCAGAAATTTAATTTCTTAATATTATGAATAGAAGTTGTATATTCAAACATAATTAAATTAATTTAATATTAATCTTTTTCAATATCAAAGTTATTCATGAAAAATTACCCTAGAAAAATATTATGACCATGCATATCAATTTTATGTAAAATATGTATTTGAATACACTTTTGCTGTAAAAATAATTATAACGTTTTATACTAATTATTTTAATTTGTGTGTAAATATAAGTAATAATAAATATTTTTTAAGTAATAATTTTAACTGCAATCTATAAAGTTGAAATTGCTTATAATATATTATGATTTTAGTGAGTTATAATTTAATATTTTCTATTTAATATATTTATTAATTATTAATTTAATATATTCTAACAATGTTTTTGATTATTACTTTACAATGTATTATAAATATGATTTATTATAATTTATTATTATTCATATAAAGCTATATATTATCATTTTTTAAATGTAATATACTTTTAGGTTTTTCATTACGCTTATGTTATAGCAAAAACCAATTTTGAATTACATAGCTTTAAATGAATTAATTTCAATTTATTAGAATTAATTAATGTATCGAAATAGAGCATTTTATTTGAAAATTGAAAAAAAGCTTCAATGAATTCTTGTTTTGTATTTTTTTCATAATTTTAAAAACAACAATAATTATTTTTTATTTCTCATCCCCCCCCCCATATTGTAGTACACTTTTTCATATTGTAGCATGATTTGGTAATAGAATTAAATGATAAATTATGTTCGATTTTAAGGGTTTGTTTTATCGCTCGAACTGCCAATTCAATAGTTCAGGGGATTAGTCTCTCGCCGTAGCGATTAAGAGGAAAAGGCACAGGTGGAAGGGCTGAAAATATTATGTAATATGTATTTTGAGTGAAGATATTGTTTTATTCTGATTTATGAATTATAATAATATTGCAGTTTTGTTGGTTGCTTCAAGTAAGAGAGAGAGAGAGAGCGGGGGGTATTCTATTGCAATGGTGAGGGTGTTTCCTTGTGTCGTTGGTTGTCGTTGATGGTATGGAAATTACTATAGATGTTGACTATTGAGTTTATGCTGATGCTGTAAGGATCAGCATGAGTAGTCGACTATGCTCATCAATGAGCATAGGAAGATGGTGATGGTGATGGTAATGGTAATCAATAACGCTTCGTAGGGAGAGTAAGCATACTTAAAGGGAGAGAATACGGAATTCTCTGCGGTAGTTGTTACGTAAATCGAGTATTAGAGAGCTAGTCAGACACAATAACGATAAATGAAAAGCCTTTAAGTACGGAAGGACTTAATAATAGGTAGTTATAGTCGACTATTTGATAACTGTTATTTGCCCTTTACTAGCTTGTACAAAATAATAAAGAAGATACAATTCCAATGGCGTCACTGTTAAATTACTAACTTGTTATTTCAGATTCTATTAATAATTGCACGCATATGTTGTAGGTCGATTGTCAGGCTTGCGGCTCAATTTCGTAATTGTAACTGATAACTGATACTTGATCGATTGAAAAAATATGCTAATTAATAACAGATGGGTGAGCGAGTAGTAGAATTACAGTGAACCATAATCGATAACTGAGTAAATAGTAAAAAAAATACCGTGAGCCAGGTACGTGGCGACTGAGTGGATGTTAAAAGTCAGTGCCACGGTCCGTGGCTCGCTGCTCTTAAATATTCGCATGGTAGCTTGCTACGCCGACAACAGCATCGATGCCTGTTGCTATGCCGAAAATCATAGTGACGTCAGAGAACGAAACTCTGGAATATTCTAGAAGCATCGAAGACCACAGTCTCGGAAGGTTCTAGAAACTTCATCGGCGTTGCTATGCGGAAACATTGTCGTATATTAGAATTTAAGGCTTACAAAGATGAGCGTCCGTGAGCTTGTACTTTTCCCAATTTTAAATTCTGCTCAAACTGCTTTAATCACGAACACAACCCTAGTAAATTATGTAGTTAAGAATTAAACGATTGCTATTCGCATAAAATTAATGACATTTATTTTTCTAGGGTATTCATCTTCTTTGAATCTAATCGTGTTCACGAAAATATGAGAATAGCGATAAAATGTTAGTTAAAAATTGATATGCTTTATAAAGTCCTCATAGTAGTATATTTTAATACTATGGTATAGTTTTATTTTTTATTATAATTTTATTATATTGTTATGTTTAATTGTATGTAAAAACAAATAAAATAATATATATGTATTTTCAAAATATTATTAATTAAGAAAAATTTTAATTTATATTTTGTGTTTGTTTCAGATTTGATGAGTAATCTTTGCAAAACTCAATTTATGCGGGATTTATATTGGAAGATAGACGGAGCCGTTATTACGTCTCAAAATGAAAGAAATCTCGATTGCGCCGTCACTTTCCAAACGTACAGTATAGTTCAACGATTTATGTTAAAATTTGATCGATTGCAATTGGATTGTAATGATCATCTTTATATATATGATGGAGCACACTCTGTTGGTAATTTTAAGGTGGGTCAAAACATTTATATACTCGTATCTAATATCGAAACTTTATTAACATAAATTTGTCACAAAATTCGAAGTTTTATATTATACTTATTGTTCGAGATTGAAGCAGCTGAAAACGGAATTCAAAATTGGGAGAGCTATAAGCTCCCGGACATTTATGTTTGTAAACACGATTTAGCGAATTCGGGAAATTTCCTATGCCGAAAACTCGTATATACGATAATATTTCCGCATAGCAATGTGGATGAACCCTCCAACGCTATATCCTACTGACGTCACGACAAATTTCGGAATAGTAAGAGGCACCGGTGCGCTTCCGGCGTCGCAAGCTTCTACATCAATATTTAAGAGAAGCGCTTGATGCGCAGCGCACTGTGCTAATAACAATTACGCAGTCACCACAACGGGCTCACTATTTCTATCTTCAAGCATTCAACCTACAGCTATCACTCACTGTAGCTATACAAGTATTTAATCATCAAGTAATAAGCAATCTAATAGTGACGCCATAACTATCAGAATCCGTTAAACTTATTTTCAAGAAGCGCTAGTGCAAGTATAAATTAAGAGTGAAAATAACGAAATTATAACTACAACACACATCAACGGATCACACCGGCAGCTAAAGCAGCATCGTCTCAATTGGTCCTTTAGTGTGCACCGGATACAACAGTGGCGGCTCTCACGCTCACGTAAGCAGCAACGGCGGCTACGCTCTTCTTTCCAACCACATCGACAGCAGCAACGGCGACTACGTACGTTCCTTCGATCACACCGGTGGCTAAATTAGCATCGTCTCATTCGCCCCTTTAGTGTGCACCGGCTACAACAGCGACACTTCTAATGAAAGAAGGATCTTCGCCTCATACTACTGAGAGTACACACTCTCGCCAGCACGTAAAATAATTGAAGAAACTCCACACATAAGTAACTCATACTTTTCTATTTTTAATTACTATCATTATATTATTGCATTTAATAAAGGAAAGACCAAGATATACTGTGTGAGGAATTGAATAATTGCATTTGCCTCCTCCACTTGCCAGCAATACCTGCACCCAACATCAACGGAAGGTTTTCAATCTGATCCCAGATAAAATTGGTCCTTCGAGCCGGATAAGTGGAAGTCAGTGCATTCGTTCAAAACTACTAGAGGAGAAAAACTCAGCCATAGTATCAGTTTACAAGCAGACACCTAGGTCACAATTTAAGAAAATTTCTTCAATACTGTAAGAACACTACTGTTGCTCTCTCTATGATCACATGATGTCAACCCAAGAAAGAAAGGGCAGTAAGGAACCGTTGAGTTCAAACACATCCACAGTCCATGAACGCATAACCCGTAGCGCAACTAATGACAAATTACCAAGTGAACACCTCATGAAGGCACAAACTCAAAACATATCTACAATGAGGATATTAAGTAATAATCTCAGCGCAAAGCGTACAGACATCAGTCACGATGAAGTATTATCAATAGGAGATTCCATTGACGACATACATAAGACGTTCATAAAGGAACATGGCTACATCTAAGCCACCTGGCCACCATCAGGTATTAATCAAACGCAAACGAGATATACGACTAAGCCCGCAGAGAAGGCACCTACAGGAGAGCCACGAGAAATCGCGTGCCTTCCCGACATCTCTATCCCGAAATTCTCAGGAGACTATCTAGCTTGGCCCATGTTCAGAGATCTATTTCAATCCATAATTCTCCAAAGCAAGAAGTTAAGTGACGTGCACAATTTACACTATCTACGAAATTCCCTAGAAGGATCAGCAGCAAGGATCATATCAGGCATATCGTTACAAAATACCTCACTCGCGACAGCCTGGAACAAGTTAATGGAAAAATACAACACTCCCCGGCTAGCTAAAGTAACTCATACGACAGCTCGTTACTATCTCATCCAAAATTATAAAATCAGCAACAGACTTAGAGAAATTAGTGAGCAGAGTAAGTGACTTGTTGGAGGCACTTATGCAATATGATATTCCAAATGCATGGAATTCCATAGCAGTGCACATAGTGTTAATGCAAATTGACGATCAGACAAGAACGGAGTGAGACAGTTCGCTTGGTGACTCAACAGCATACCCAAAATTTGCTCGATTAAAATCCTTCCTATTGGTACAAGTAGCAGCATTGGACAACGCGACCGAGCTGAGGGAACAAAGAAATCACTTTCAACCCCACACATCCAATAAAAGATTCGTAAGAACATGCTAGTCAACAACTGCGACCGATAACAAAGAAAAGTTTTTGACGTTCAACCGACATCACAATTTATGTGCCTATTGCAATGAAATTAACGAAAGAAAAGCCGTTGCGAAAAAACTACAGCTATGTACAAACTGTTTATGTAAACCTTTACCGAGCCCATGCCTCAGCAAGGGAAACTGCAATAACTCTCATAAGGGACATCATACACTATTACACGAAGACAAGAACTTAACATCGAAAGACTCTAGCTCATCATTACACCCTAGATGACTAGCCCGGAAAAATGTCAACTCATTCAGGAGAAGACAAACAACGACCCTGCTGGTCACTGCAGTAGTTACAGTAAAATCACAATCAACTATGTATTAAGTTCGCCTTCTTATTGATACCGGCTCTGAAATCACACTCATCACTGAAAAATTGGCAAAGAAACTTAAAGCAAGCTCACAGAAATCCACTGTCATAATCGATGGAATAGGAAGGACTTCACCGATACAAACACTAGTGATTATTACATGTACACTTCAGTCAATTCACTCAAGGGATTCAGTGATAATTCACGCTTATATACATTAAGTCTTTAGCCCAAAAAGCACTTACCAACTAGTCACAAAAATCATTCATATCACTCACAGAACCATATTATTGTTTTACTAAAAGATAATAGATACTTACGCTCATAAGTTAGCATGCTATGCGAAGTACAGAAATATTGGTGGATCTAGAGCAAGACGATGCAAATACTCATCCTCACATAACAAAGGGGAATAAAATTTCTTGGATAAGAGTGATCAATTTCTGCTTTAGCATTTTTAGACTTCATTCATAGCGGTGATATTCATAAAAAATTACCAGTTTGATAATGGTACGTAATGCTCAAAAGTAAACAACTAGTAATAAATACATAAAGTGCCAGTTATAAGTGCGAAGGTAATATACATACTAAACAAATTTCACCGAATAAATCAATAGACGATGTTAAAACAAATGTTTATCCTGAAATACTAATAGTAGAAACGATAAACTCCCTGAAAATATATGATTATCTATATCTCTCGAAGAATCTGAAAATATATATAACATTTCTAAGTCAGTTGCATAAAATGAATATAATATACGAATCACATCATCTTCAGGATGCAGATTATTGGATAAACATTTAGATATTATTTCAATAAGGGATAATTCTGAAATTGATAAAATAACTGCAGCATGATTCCAGAGCAATATATTATCAGAATTAAATAACTATATTAGTCTGAAAAAATCAGTGACACAGGATGATATCTTAGATGAAATAAGAACAAAAAATAATACTCTAATAACTACTTCATTATCTTCTTCAATGTAATGATAGTCAAAAACATTAAAAAAACCTGCAAAAGATTAAAGGCAATTTAAGTTCATTTATTAACAAGGTGACCTATATAATAAAAAAAAATAATAAATGACAATATTGATACTGAAATTAGAATCTTAGCAGTCAGAAACGATTGCCCAGATGAGGATAAAAACTTACTCACATAAAATTTCCATATTCAAGATCCTAATCAAGACAGAACACAATTTAATTACAATGAAAATCGGGCAAGTCAAATTTATAAATCTAAGCCCAAGATTAATTACTTTTAGCCCAGAACATAGCATGCTTGACGATATATTGAATAAATCCAATAAAACAGACATTGAATTGAGATACTCAAAGGTTCGGATAATGAACACGTTGTAGAATTTAACTCAGTTGATTTAGGTCCACTGATGAACAAGAAATAATAAAATGTACTAATATAGAATAGGTGATATAGATAAAAAAAAACATGAAAATTCGATATTATTTAATAAGCTTGATTTAAGTTATTATCTGCGTCCCCTCGCTCTTCTATATATTTATTTCTTCGTCTAACCGTTTTTCTATTTTTCATATACTTAAAGTTTCATTATTTATAAAGCAAAATATCATTGAAGAGATTTTACATTTACTATGTATAAATTTTAACGAATAAAAACAGATTTATGGAAGTTTTTTGTAAATCCAATTTTTATTTTTGCAAGCATCAATTTTTTACGGTTTATTTTAAATTTAATTCATATACACAATACTTTGCTAACAACTTACTATTATCACTATAAACTTACTAATGATTTACTGTTTTACATTATTAAACAATTATTATTACAATAGTTAATCACATTATTACATCGTATAGTAACACGATTAGCTACATTATCTTATTAGTATTACATGGATGATAATATTTACAAATCATTATTACTTGAAACACAATAATGATATTTTATGTCAGTCATAGTATATAAGTAATTGTATAATGTAAGTATATAGTTGCTTTATATTTCCAAATAAATTTTTTTAGAGATCTTGCAATTAATTAATTTAAATTTTTTATGAAAACCAAAAAAATTTATTTGAAAATTAATTAATCATAGATAAAGCTATTTCATTTGAAATAAATGTTTTATCTTATATACATAACCTAAAAAGTTCAGTCTGAATCACCTAAAAAACCTAAAAAGATAAAGTATTAAATCAATCCTGTTCGGAAAATAATCCCACAATTTGACTCGTCAGCCAAACATGCAATAATTAACTTAGAACAATAAAACCCACTAGATGTTATGTGGGGTTGCCGGGCAAGTAAAGGGTGAATGCACTGATTAATAATTAACACATGTCTTTATTATTTCTATTTATTTGAATTGATTTACAAAATGGTGAATTACAGACGAACTTTATATTTCTTGATAATCTTGTGGT